GTGGACCACTACAGGGAATTCAACACTGAGGGGGAAAAATTGTTAAAAATACCTGCCAAGTTTCATGGAGAGCTACTGCCCGGCATTGTTCTAAAAACTTTATGTGCTCTTTACACTGTGGTAAGCATTTTGCAGAGATGAAACAAGTGTCTTCTTCTATCCCAGCCCTCACTTTCAAAGCCCCAAAGACAAACAGGGCAGTATCACCCAATCTCTAGACCTCAGACAGATGAAGCCAGTGAACTCATTATTATCCGTTAAAGTGATCCAGGCCCACACACTGCCACTAAATGTCTTGTCTTGTGTCTCCTTTAATCTGCACTAGTCTCAAATATTGGTCTTTCAGGACACTTTAATTTTTTTGGATTTTGTTTTGCAGTCCTGGGCCTTGAGTGTGCTGGGCAGCTGCTCCACCACTGAGTCCCATGCCTCGTTCCTTGACACTGACCTTGTAGAAGAGTACTGGGCAATTATTCTGTACAACGTCAATCAACTTGGGGTTGGGTGACATATATACCATCAGATGTTATGTCATATGATCTTTGTTGAGGATCCCACAGACGGCCCTGAGAGCTGGCTCGGGGGTTAAGAACACTGACTGCTCTCGCAGAGGACCCAGGTTTGATTCCCAGCACCCACATGGTGGTTACCAACCATCTGCAAGTGCAGTTCCAGTGGATACAGCTCCTCCTTCTGATCTCAGGAGGTACCAGGCACACACGTGGTGCACATACATGCTACATATAGGCAACACATAAACATAAATAACCTAAAATTTAAAGACAGATAGAGGCTAGGTGCTGGTGGCTCACAGCACTTGGGAGGCAGAGGCAGGCAGATCTCTGAGCACCAGGCCAGCCTGGTCTACAGAGTGAGTTCCAGTACAACCAGGGCAGTTACACAGAAAAACCCTGTCTCAAAACAAACAAACAAACAAACAAAAAGACACATAGATGTTGGATTTTTTTAGACAGGGTCTGTCTATGTAGCACTGGCTGTCTTGGAACTCACTATATATAGACCAGGCTGGCCTCAAACTCACAGAGAGCCACCTACCTCTGGCCCCCAAGTGCTGGGTTAAGGTGTGTCACCTCTACACCTTGCCTAAAAGGAATCATTATAAGGTGTAAAGAGGCTCAGCTGATGTAGCCTTACATGAGCCCTCCGGCCCGCAGTATTTCTTTTCGTCAAGATGAGTGATAAGCCAGACTTGTCTGGGGTGAAGTCTAACAAATCAAAATTGAAAATTAATATGAAGAAAAAGATTTACTTTTTCCTCACATGAAACTGCAGTAGGAGAAAGAGAACCAAACATAAAAGAGGATCTTCTTTCTCCCCAGAGCAAGGTTTCAGCAGGGCCCAAGAGTCTCGTTTTTTAGGCTTGTTTTTGTAGACCTGTACATTTGTGGAGATTTAGGCATTTACTGATGGCTTCTCACTGCCTGCCCAAGGGTCAGCAGTGGCCAGTGTACCAACGTTCTTTAAATTGGTCTTTAAACTTTCCACTAGTGTGTAAATCCCGGTGTCACCTTGCTGGCCTTGGTGACAGTCTTCCTTCACTTCCTGCAAAGCAGCCTGGCTTTAGCCTAGCTGGGCACGCCTCAGTTGCTTCTGTAGTTGCTTCTTCAATTCCTGGAGTTTGATCTCATCACTAGTGTCACATTAAACACAACCCCGTTCCCACCCCCTGCCCAAAGAAAAGATGTGAAATAAATGATGAGAACTGAAATTTCACTGACTCCAAAGAGTCTCTGGGATTTTTGTTTGGATGGTTCATTTTTTGCTTTTGAGACAGGGTCTCACCATATAGCCCCAGCTGTCCTGGAACTTGCTATGCAGACCAGGCTGGCCTCGAACTCAGAGTTCTACCTTGCCTCTGCCTCAAGAGTGCTGGGATTAAAGGCATGTGCCACCACCACTCAGTTAAATTTTTTTTCTTAGAGAAACAGAAACATATTCCTTAACAATGTAGGGACAGGGTGCTTGACACACAGTATCATTTAGCCGTTGTAATAACTCTATGATGTGAGCATTGTGACTATCTCCACTTTGGGGCTGATGGCCAAGTCACATAGATGCACGGCAGAAGATTTTGCTTCCTGCTCAGGTTCCGCTGACCTAAGCACCTAAGCACCACACACTCCTGACTTCTGCCCTGCATGCTCAACTGCCTCAACAGGGACAGGACAGTGAAATCACAGCCGATCACAGTGTTAAGAGTTTCTTAATGCTGGCACTCTTCCTGAAAAATATCTATGTGACCTTTGCTTGCAGGGAATCCAACCAGACAAACCAGACTTAGAGAAACATCCTAGGACTGGAGGCCACTGGTGCCTGGAGAGATGTATGCATCCATTCAATTTTTCTAAAGATTTATTTATTTTTATGTGCATTTGGTGTTTTGCCTGTATGTATGTGAAGGTGCCAGATCCCCTAGAACTGAAATTACAGACAATTGTGAGCTGCCACGAGGGTGTTGGGAATCGAACCCAGGTCCTCTGGAAGAGCAGTCAGTGCTCTTAACCGCTGGGCCATCTCTCCAGCCCCGCATTCTTTCAATTTTTTCTTCCATTTCTTTCAATAACCTCCTGTAACTTTTCAGAGCACAGTACTTCACTAAACTTGGTTCCCGACCTTGAAAGTTCTCTTTGATGCTATTGCAAATGAACTGCACTGGCACCCAATTGGGCCCCTGTTTTCATGGGTGTCCATCATTTTCTAGATATAATCATATCGCCTGACATTAGAGATCATTTTACATTTCCTTTCCCAGTCTGGATGCCTTTACTGCATTTTACAATTTTTTTTTTGTATCAGTGTCTCTTTTCTTATGGATCAGAAAGTTGAGAGGTCAGGCCAGCACCAGAAACAGATAATCTTCAAAGTCTGCCCACAGCCACTCACTTCTGCTAGGCACACCACATGTCCCAAGCTTTCCATAACCTCCCCAAACAACATCGATGGCTGAGGACCAAGTGTTCAGAATCATGAGCCTGTGGGGGATGTCTCACACCCAATTCAATCCATAACACTTCTTTTAAAAAACAGATGGATCATCTGTACTTGAGATACTTGCTTGGAACGCTACACCTTAAAAAAAAAAAAAATGCTCTTTTGTAGCCCAGACTAGCCTTGAACTTCCCAACCTCCCAAGTGCTAGGACTGTGTAAGTGTGAGCCACCACACCTGGCTTCCGGCTCTTGACTTGCTGTCAAAAGCCTGTTTGCATGACATCTGAGAAGAACAGCCAAGGGAGTACTCACCATCCATTTGTTCTGCTGTCAGCACTGGAGAAGTGCTGTCAGTGTCCTCATTTACCCAACCTCACAATCATCTCAGTTAATAAGATGAATATGGGAAGGCTGGAAATGGAGCTCATTCGGGGGACCATTTCCCTAGCATGCACCAAGTCCTGTGTTTCATCCCAGCACTGCATAAACTGCCTGTGGTGGTGTATGCCTATAATCCCATCACCTGGGGAGTGACTGGCAGGAAGGTCTGAAGTTCAAAGCCATCCTCAGCTACATAGCTACTTCCAGGCCAGCCTGGGGCACATGAACTGCTCTCAAAAATTTTTTTTACCTAAAAAACAAACAAATAATAAAGGGAACAATAATATAAAATACACAGGAACATCTTTTGGAAAGGAAGGAGGAAAGAAAGTCTAAGGTGGGCAGCATAATTGTTTCTCCCAAAGAAATCTACCTCTGAATCCCGGAACCTGTGACCATGTGACCTTAAATGGCAGGAGGAAAATCAAGGTAGCAGATGGAAGCACATTGCTAGTCAGCTGACCTTAAGACAGATGTGTGAGCTACCCAGGCAGGACCAAGATAACCCCAAGTAGAAGAGGAGGGGCTGGAGAGGATGCTCAGCAGGAAGGGGTCTTTGCCACCAGGACTGCCTGATCCCCAGAACCCACAGGGTGGAAGGAAACTGCCTCCCGAAGGCTGTCCTTTGACCTCCACACACACTGTGGTATACACACACACACACACACACACACACACACACACACACACACACACTAAATAAATGTTACAAGTTTGAAAGATTTAAATGAAAAGGGAAGAGAGAGGGGCCAACAATGGAGACAGAGTGTGACCTAGTGCCCAAGACAGACAGACTGATGCAGTGTAGATGGTTCTGAAGATGGGGAGTGGATGCCAGCCAAGGCATGTGGGCAGCCTGCAGAAGCTCCGCCAGCGCTGCCAGGAAGAACACAGCCTTCAGAGTGCCAGTGCTCTGCATCTCAGTCCAGGAAGGCCCATTTCAGGTTCTGACTGGTCAGAAATGTAAAATAATGATCTGTGTTGCTTTCAGCCACTGCGTTTGTGGTCATTCATAGCAGGAAAGTACAGAACGGGTCAGGTGAGGTTAAAGAGCGCTTGTTTCGTTTATTTAACAAAATACGAAGAACTCTTGGAGAGCAAAACATTATGTTGCCAGCCTATGAGCGTAGATAACAGGTACTTCAGAAAGATGGAAAGAGGAGGTACCAACGCTGGGACAAAAATGAAGGATTTTCAGTCCACTGTGGCCATGAGCATTGAAATCCCTCCTCTTCGCTCTACAAACTGCTGGTTTTTTTTTTTTTGTTTGTTTGTTTTTGTTTTTGTTTTTTGGGCGAGACTCATATGAAGGTCTGGATTTCCTAAGGCTGCAAATGTGCACAGCATTGACGAATCTTAGCCAAGGCGATAACATTCAACCGGCCACAAGAGTGTGCCTGTGAGGAGCTCATAATTTTTTTTTTTTCCCTGCCAAACCAGAATTAGCCGGTATAGGAATGAAGCAGCGTGAAGATCGGAAATTGCACGGATTGGAAGGAAGCTCGGGGTAGGCTCGGATCCTTCCAAATACACCCTTTTTAAAGGCTCGGGGACAGAAGCATCGAGCCTTAGGCTCCAGAAGGTTCACCTGGCTAGACAGCGAGCGGAAGGCGAGTCCGGGAGCCCCGCACCGAGCGCACGGAGCCGGGCGAAGAGCCGAGCCCCAGGCACCGCATCTACAGGATGCTAGTCGATATTGCCACCAATCCCCACGCCCAGTGCCCCCGGGTTCTCGGAGCGGACCTGGAAGTTCACGGGTCGAGACCCGGAGCCGAGTGAGACCGTTGTCCTGCGACTGCGTGCGGTGAGTATCCTGGGGCTGTGCTAAGGCCAGGGACTGCCGCAGGGTTGGAGCATCTTTGAGCCGGCGGATACTGGCGGATACCGGTCGATACTGGTGGCTGCAGCTCTTCCTGGGGATCCTCACCGGGCGATATCCCGGGACAGGGTCGGAAAAGAGAGGGACCTGGGCAGGGCGGCGGTAATCCCTCGTGCCCCGAGCTGCAGGCGGGGATGCGCAGGGTCCAGGACGTCGCGCGCCCCGGGCACCAGAGCGCGCGTCGCCTCCGCGCCCGGCCTCCGGCTCCGGGGTTCTTGAGGCCCCAGTTTACTACTCGAAGTAGACAGTGATTGGGACTACAGCTAGCGACCTCCGAAGGCGTGGGTGTCTCTGTGTCCCGGTGTGGGTGGAGGCTCAGAGGGTGCAGCATCTCGCGCGGATGGACCAGGGCGGCGGATGCTGAGCCCCCGCGAGCCGCTCTGATCCAGCATCTCGAGAGGAAAGGGGATAGTGAAGACCCAGCACAGCCATTAAAGGGTAGAGGCTGCCACAGCCTGACGAGGTTTTATGAGCTCATCTCTGCTTACCAATTAAGCCCTTTCTTCCTGCAGAAAAGTTGGTTCAGGCTCAGGCTCATTAGCAAGGGTGCTTATTAGGGATTAGAAAGATTCTCTTTTGCCTGGTCAAAGAAGTGAGAGGTCGAGGGCAAGGGAGAAGGGAGGAGGTGGTGTGGAGAAGAGGTGGAGAGTGACTATAGATTTGTTCATATTCGGACTTCACAGGGCACCCACTAAACAGCTGGCTCACTTTCAAGGCTGGAGATGTACCTCTGTTGATAGAGTGTCTGCCTAACATGCATGAGGTCCTGGGTTCAATTCCCCCAACACTGCCTAAATCCAGCACTGTGATACAATACCCATCCTGTAGTGGGATAAGAAGTTCAAGGTCATCCTCCAACCTGAGGTCAGCCTGGGGTGCGTGGGACCCTGTCACACACAAATACAAACAGATGTTTCAGTTGTCTTATCCGTAAAATGGGGTCGTTTGGGACTTCAATACCAACTGGCCAAGAACATCCTTGCAAAAGCCACCGATCACAGCCCTGGCCCATTGGATCTCTTACACACACACACACACACACACACACACACACACACACA